CAATCATTAGTAGTAGTTGTTTTCAAATCATTCTTGGTACACTATTGTTTTTCTTGGGTGTAGTAGTAGTCGTAGTAGTAGTAGTAGTAGTAGTAGTAGTAGTAGAAATAACAGTAGTAGTAGTAGTAGTAGTAGTAGTAGTAGTAGTAGTAGTAGTAGTAGTCGTAGTAGTAGTCGTAGCAGTCGTAGTCGCCGTTGTAGTCGTAGTCGTAGTCGTAGTGGTGGTAGTACGAGGCGTAGTATAGTAGGAGTGGCAGCAGTAGTAGCAGCAGTAGTAGTTGCTGTTAGTAGTAGTAGTAGTAGTAGTAGTAGTAGTAGTAGTAACACCAGTAGTAGTAGCAGTAACCCGATAAGTAGTCGCCGATAGTAGTGGTCGTAGGCATGCGCGTAAATTTTGCCGTAGTTAGTAGCAGTAGTTTAGTCGTAGTAGTCGTAGTCGTAGTATTAGTAGTAGTACGTAGTCGTCGTAGTAGTAGTACTAGTAGTAGTCCGTATTACATAGTCGTAGTTCGTCGTTGTAGTAAAGTATTAGTAGGAGTAAGTCGTAGTGAACGTAGTAGTACAGTCGCAGTCGTAGTCGCGGTAGTAGTAGTCGTAGTAGTAGTAATAATAGTTAGTAGCAAATCGTGGCCAAGAATACGTCGATAGCCGTAGTCGTAGTTAGTAGTCAGTAATCTTAAGTAGCAGTCGTCTACTAAGACGTAAGTAGTTGTTAGTTAGTTGTAGGTAGTTAGATAGTAGTAGTGTCGTAGTAGTAAAGTAGTAGTAGTCGTCGTCGTAGTACTAGTAGTAGTACTGGTAGTGGTAGTACTAGTGATAGTAGTAGTAATAGTAGTCGTAGTAGTATAAGAAGTAGTCGTAGTACTAGTAGTAGTAGTAATGGTAGTCGTAGTCGCGGTAGTAGTAGTACCAGCAGTAGTAGTAGTAGTAGTAGTAGTAATAATAGTATTCGTAGTATTGTTAGTAGTAGTAGTAGTCGTAGTAGTAATAGTAGTAGTAGTAGTAGTAGTAGTAGTAGTAGTAGTAGTAGTAGTAGTAGTAGTAGTAGTCGTAGTAGTAGTAGTAGTAGTAGTACTCGTAGTAGTAGTAGTAGCAGTAGTAGTAGTAGTAGTAGTAGTAGTAGTAATGATAGTATTAGTATTAGTAGGTAGTAGTAGTAGTAGTAGTAGTAGTAGTAGTCGTAGTCGTAGTAGTAATAGTAGTAGTAGTAGTAGTAGTAGTAGTAGTAGTAGTAGTAGTAGTAGCAGTAGTAGTAGTAGTAGTAGTAGTAGTAGTAGTAGTAGTCGTAGTCGTAGTAGTAGTAGTAGTAGTAGTAGTAGTAGTCGTAGTCGTAGTAGTAGTAGTAGTAGTAGTAGTAGTAGTAGTAGTAGTAGTAGTAGTAGTAGTGGTAGTAGTAGTAGTAGTAGCCAAGGTGGTTTGCCACATCTGATGCAGCCGCGATGGCTGTTACTGATAGAGAATCTTTGGGGAGTCTCAAAGACTGCGCTGGCATTTCAGCACGAGCCGAGTCGGCCCCAGGAAGCCTCAGGAGGCCCCAGGAGGCCTCAGGAGAAACACCAGCGACCCACAGGAAGCCCCAGGAGGGTTCAGGAGTGCCCAGCAAGCCCCACGTAATTGCAGGAGGCTTCAGGAAGACTTAGGAAGTGTCAGGAAGCCCCCGGGGAATCCCAGGAAACCCCAGGATGCCTCAGGAGGCTCCAGGAGGATCCACGAGGCCCTGGGGAAGCCACGGGAAACTCCAGGATGTCCCAGGAAACCCTGGAAGGCCCCAATGGGGGCCCTAGGCGCTCGACGAAATGGCGATCGAAAAATGTGCGCCGCGCCTTAGCGGAACGTAACTTGCAGAAAACATGCGCGCGGCGCCGAAGCGGGAACGACATTTCGCCCTGTCGCGCGCGATGTGCACCGCGCCCCATTCCCGCCACGCATTTCGCAAAGCTGACGACAAGGAAATCCTCGCTGAGAAAACGCATGTCGACTTTGTATTGGTTTTTGAGAGATCGGATGGCCCCTCCCGCGTGGGGTTCCCCCAGACGTCCGTGCGCGATGTGCGCTGCGTCCCGTTCCTGTTGCGCATTTCGAATTGTCGACGACAAGGCAGGCCACGTTGAGAGGACCAACAGGGGCTTAGTATTGATTTTTTAAAGTGAGGATGGGAGGGTCCAGATTGACGTCCGCGCGCAATCTGCGCCGCGTCCCACTCTTGCCACGCATTTCGCATCGTCGACGACAAGACAGGCCATGTTGAGAGCAACAACGGGGACTTCGTACTACTTTTTTATTTTTATTTTATAGTTAGGATGGGACCCCCCCCAGGTGTGTTTGCTATCGGCCGGACAGACGGGGGAATCTGAGTATATTTCAATAGGGACTAAGGATAGTAGGAGTAGGAGTAGGAGTAGGAGTCGGAGTAGGAGTAGGAGTAGGAGTAGGAGTAGGAGGAGGAATCGGAGTAGGAGTAGGAGTAGGAGTAGGAGTAGGAGTAGGAGTAGGAGTAGGAGTAGTAGTCAAGCTAGCCAGCTCGAGCGAGTCAAGCATGGCATGCCCAGTCCCACCCGCCCTCCCACAACATAAGAAGCAAAGCTGGCACAACTGGGGGCCGAAGTCACACCGGCCAGCCGGTTTGGTACAGCTGATGCGGCCGCGATGGCGGTTGCCGACGGGAACTGGCGAGCGCGTGTTGAATGCCGCGCACGCATTGCCAGACGAGTCGAGAATGGCCCGGTACACCGCAGGAAGCCAGAGGTGGCCGGAGGAAGCCCGACGGTCTGACAGGACACCCCAAAGCATTTTTGTGAAAAAGCATTGGGTTTTTGATGTTTTTATGTTGAAATGCTTGCAAACACACGGTGTTCGGTAGGATTCTGACATGAACGCGCGAGTGTGCTCTTTGTGGTATTTTTTGCACAGGATTCGCGGCCTGGGTGCATGACAGAGCATCGCGAGTGCACCGCGCGATGACGTGAAATCGCTGGATTTGACAGAATTCTTAAGATTCCGATGGTTTTCCTATGATGATTTCAGCAAGAGAGCCCGGGCAGGAAATTTGTAGAATTTTTGTGAAAAAGCATTGGGTTTTTGATGTTTTTATGTTGAAATGCTTGCAAACACAAGGTGTTCGGTAGGATTCTGACATGAACGCGCGCGTGTGCTCTTTGTGGTATTTTCTGCAATGGATTATCGCCGTGGACGACAGGACGTCCATGTCGAGAGGAAAAAATAAGAAACATGTTGATTTTGTATTGTTTTTTACAGGTTAGGATGGGACCCCCCGGATGCGGCCCCTAATGGCCGGCCTGAGGGGGGAGTAGGAGTATATTCTAATAGGGAATAAGGATAGGGAGGCTGAGGAGGAAAAAGGAGGAGGAGGAGGAGGAAAAGGAGGAGGAAAAGGAGGAGGAGGAGGAAGAGGAGGAGGAGGAGGAGGAGGAAGAGGAGGAAGAGGAGGAGGAAGAGGATGAAGAGGAGGAGGAGAAGGAGGAGGAGGAGGAGGAGGAGTGGCCTGGCATCTATGGACGCCGCCGAGGCCGAGCCTGGCCTCCTCCAGGTCACCAAGGGCGCGGCGCCCGCGGCAGGCGCCCCTGGCGGCCTCCCTTCCACGGCCTTGACCCTCGCGTATTCGGAACGGTTTCTGAATTTCGGTTGTGTTATATAGCACCCCGCTGTTGCGGATGCGAGCGAGGTGCCGGCGGGGAATCGGCAGTCTGTGAGGCTTTGAAGAAGCCCGCCGCAGGCGCGTAACTGTCACAAAGTAAACGACGAGCCCGCCGCAGGCGCCCATTTTTTCGTCAAAGCAATGTGGGTGGGTCGTGGGTGGGTCGCGGGTGGGTCGCGGGTGGGTCGCGGGTGGGTCGCGGGAGGGTCACTTCAGCCACGAAAGCACGCTTTTGACTCCAAAACCCCTCCCTCCTCCTCGACCTCCATTCTCGGCTCTGCCTCCTCCGTCTTTCCTCCTCCCTGTCCTGCCCCTCCTCATCCTCTTTTTCTGTCCTGTCATTTGTCTTCACCCTCTGCTTTCTCCTTGTTGCCCTTCTCTATCCCCTTCCTCCTCCTTGAGGTCAATCACGTCAGACAGGCGTCAACCTTGAGGACGCCGGCAAGTTTCGCTTGCGCGTTCAGTGCTTTTCAAGCGATAGCAGGGACCGCAGTGTTTGAAGCCGTGCGCGACTCATGACGTGCCAGCAGCAGACTGTGCAGGGACTCCCAGGCTCACAAGTATTGGTACTTTCAGAGATTAGCGGCCGAGGCATATAGGAGGGACTAATGTGAATTTCGGCGAAGCGCAAGTTGGTACACGGACCGGCGAGCATCCCAGGAACACAGCCAATCTGCGGCGATTGTTAATCTGAGAGCTGACATCTCGCCAGCTCGCACCCCAGTGCGTGCCTAGCCTTTTCGTGTATAGTATGTGCGACGAAGGGTGTGTGTGTGTGTGTGTGTGTGATTTGATGCACAAAGTCTTGCCCAGTGCTGAGTGCAGGCGTCATGTCAAGCTCGATTCCCGAGAGGGGTTTTGGCCTCTTGGAGGGTGCCCAGGAAGGCTCGAAGGGCACTGGAAACTATCCCGGGCCCGTCTTGAGGCGTCTTCGAGGCATGTCGGAGGCTAGCTTGAACCATGTTTGCCTATCTTGGGCCATCTTGGAGGCCACCTTGGGCTCTCAGAGGCCCTCTTGGAGCCATCTTGGGTCATCTTGGACGCTCTAACCCCTCCGTCCCCCCTTCCAAGGCCCAGGGGAGGGGTATGGGGAGGGGTACGCCCATCCCCCGAGCAGGGGACGGAGGCTTGTGGGATGAGGGAAGACACGACCTCGTTAAAGCACCTACGCCCTGAGGGCTGGCGGGATTGTGTAGGGACCTCAGAAGAGGGAACTTGTAGGCAGGGTCTAGTGCACCACTGGTGATGTGTCTTGGGTTGATAGTGGTCCTCCTCCTCCTCCTGCTCCTGCACCCCCTCCCCCCTCGTGCCCCTCCCCCTCGCTCTTTCTACTCGTACCTCCTCCTCGTGCTCCTCGCCCTCCTCCCCCGCCCCCGCGCGCCAGGTGGCTTGACTCCCGGGGGCATGAAGCCGCAGGGCGGCACGGGCACCGTCATGGCGCCCCGCCCGCGGCTGCGGGTCGCGGGGGGGGGGGGGGTGGAGGGAGGGGGGCCGGGGAGGGCCGCCCAGACCGAGGAGACGCACGCGCGTATCGAGGCGGGTGGATTCGCGACGGGTGCCCTCTGTGGGGTGCTCGAGTGCCGCGCCTGCTACATCGCGGCGATCGCGGGGCTTTCAGAGGGGTCGGCGACTCCAAACGAGCGCTTCGCTGGAGTCTTCCCCAGTCTGATCGCGACCGGGCCCGTGAAGTACTCGCTGGTGGCTCTTCTTTGGGGTGCCCAAGTGCCACGCCTGCTACATCGCAGCGATCACGGGCGAGTCTGAGTAGGAGGATCGAGCATGGGTGGGTTTGAGCATGAGTGGCCGAGTTTGGGTATGGCTAACCAGAGTATGACTCTATCTGAGTGTGAGTATTCTGATTGCGTGAGTCTGAGTGTGAGTGGGTCAAGCTGTGAGTGTGAGTGCTCAGACTCACACATGAGTTTGAATGTGAGTGAACTTGAGTGTGAGTGGATCTGCATATGAGTGCGTTTGGCTACGAGTGAGTATGAGTGCGACCGGGTCTACATGCGAGTGATTGGAAGTATGAGTGGACGAGGGCGGGTAAGCTGAGCTGATTATCGGTGTGCGAGAGGGGCGGGTGAGTGAGGAGGGGAGGAGGCGGAGGCGTCACACTAACATGTTGACAACCAGCTTCCCTCCATCCGAGCATCCCACATTTTGGAAACTACCTGCCATCCATCCGTGTGATTGCAGGGACTGTGAAGCTTCTCGTCTTAATGCGTGTGGACGTATCAAGCGAAACGTCAGGACCGTCCTAACCAACAAGTCTGTTGGTGAGGGGGGTTTGTGGAGATTGCATGCGCGACGGTTTGATTCCGTGATGACTCTTCAAGGGGGGTCTTCGGGATGTTTCAGGAGGTCACCAAGATCTATGGGGTTTGTGTGTGCGGGAAGGAGAAATGGGGAGGAGCAGGTGGAGGAGGAAGCGGGAGAGGAGAAGGCGGATGACGATGAAGAACAGCAGCACGACTTTGTCCCCCACCTCCCGGGCTCCCGCCCTCTGTCTTCCTCCCCTTCCTCCTTGTCCTTGTTCTCGCGCGCCGGTGTCACATTGGAGGCGGTTGTCTCCCCATGGTCGGGCTCGTGCCGGTGTGGGGGTCAAGCGCTGGACTCTGATCGGCTGCCCGAGCTCTCGCGCCAAGCGGAGAATCCCCTTGACCAGAGTAATGAGATATCACCGCTGAAGAATTTGAAGAGCCTTGATAATGAAAAACTAATACTTTTCTCTTTGTTTTTTTTCCCGGAAAGGGCTTCAGGCCCAGGGTTCTCTTTTAGTTTGTTTCCCCCCGGTTTTGACGGGAAGAGGGCCGGCGCATTTCTTTTGCGATGAATAACGAGTGGGAAGAGGGCCGGCGAATTAAAAATTCAGGATGTCTCGAGCGAAACGCTTGTTTCTCAGAATTTGTTGAGGATGTCTCGAGCGAAACGCTTGTTTTGTGTTATATATTGTCTTCTCCTGGGGACCAGAATTTAGAGAGGATTTCTCAAGTGAAATGCTTGGTTTCACGTGCCCAGGTCTTGAGGATGTCTCGAGCGAGACGCTTGGTTTCACGCCTCCAGGTTGCCCAGGCAGAGGTCAAGCGCCAGGATTTGTTGAGGATGTCTCGAGCGAGACGCTTGGTTTCACGCGTCCTCGTCGCCCAGGCGGATGTCTAGAATGAGGAGGTGTTGAGGAAGTCTCGATCGAGATGCTTGTTTGCACGTGTCCAGGTTGCCCAGGCGGATGCCTAGCATGAGGATGTGTTGAGAATGTCTCGAGAGATACGCTTGTTTTCACGTGTCCAGGTCGCCCAGGCGGATGTCTAACATGAAGATGTGTTGAGGATGTCTCGAGCGAGACGTTTGCTTTCACGTGTACAGGTCGCCAAGGCGGATGTCTAGAATGAGGAGGTGTTGAAAACGTCTCGAGCGAAACGCTTGTTTTCACGTGCCCAGGTCACCCAGGCGGACGTCTCACATGAAGATGTGTTGAGGATGTCTCGAGCGAACTACTTGTTTTCACGTGTCCAGTTCGCCCAGGCGGATGTCTAGCATGAGAATGTGTTGAGGATGTGTTGAGCGAAACGTTTGTTTTCACGTGTCCAGGTTGCTCAGGCGGATGTCTAGAATGAGGATTTTGACAGGATGTCTCGAGCGAAACGGTTGTCCCCAGCACATTCCGTAGCGCGTCCCCTTGGCACGTCCCGCGGTGCGTCCCCATGGCACGTCCCCTGGCATGTCGCCTGGCGCGTCCCTTGGGACGTTTCGCGGCGCGTCCTCCTGGCATGTTCCCCTGTCAATTAGCTCTGGGGCAGCTACTATGTGTTCAGGCAGCTCGAGCTTAAGATCCAGATCAGTTCGGT